ACTGACCTCAGGTCATTAGTGGATAATGTGTAAACCGCTCTGCAACTTCAGAACTGACAGCAACGAGGCACGTGAAGTGGACAGTCAACAATATAAAAATCGACTGTTGTTCAAGAAAAATTTACTGAATGCTTTCCATGCACTATGTTCAATTTAAACAAGCTTAATGAAAAACGTATCATGGAGACTTTGATTTCTGTGAATGAAAGCCCATGACTGCTGAGCTGGAGGCGAGCAGGGTCCTGCTCACTTGCCGACTCCTCCACACAGTCCTGACCTGTTCTTGAAGGAAGTAATGCTGCTGCAAAAGCTGTGCACAGTTGGGTTTTTTCTTTGAATAAAGCATTCAATCAAAAAGATGTCGGGTCATCGGTGAAGAACAGAAGAAAGGGGAAGGCAAAGAGTGAGCCACACACTGTCACTCCAGGAAGAGCCCAGGAGTCTGCTCCCAGCCACATGTCTCCTTTAACAGAAGCCAGAAAATCTCCACTCAGGGTTCAAGGGTTTAAAGCAGACTGGTCATTGCAGCTGCAGCAAAGAAACACTAAGCAAGCTGAGGACAAGAGACAAGGTATGAGGAGTAGTCGGGAGAGACTTCTCCCTTCCTGCTGGGACCTGGGGAAGGAGGGCTCTAAGTTCAGAAAACACCACAACCCATCACATGTGCAGAAGGCAAGCCTGAGCCTCATGGGAAGGCTATGGGTAGCAGGAATCCTAAGGCCAAGCACCCCAACTCTGATACCTTGATCAAGGGTACAAATCCCAAAAGAAGAGGTTCTCCCAGCCTATGAACAGCCCTGCTCAGGGGACTGGCCAGCCAGAGGGCAGTGTCTCCTGGCGGCTCTTCTCAGACAGGCCTCTTAAAGTGGACCTTAGTTGGCGCTCATGGTGTGCACATACACAAGCGCCTGCTCTCTCTCCACTAACATGGCTGCCGAGTGAAGACGAATGAACGCAGCCCGGCGTTCCCACTCAAGAGCAGCGGGCTGGGCTCCCTCAGCCTCTCAGGGCCTTGATTTCCTCACTTAGAAAACGATGAAGACAAAATCTTTTCAGTCTTCTTCAGAGGCCCCACAGGCTGCAGTGACTTGGAAAGATGAAAAGGACTCTATAACGGGAAGGGCCACAGGAGAGAAGAGGTGCCATCCAGCAGGTGGACTCCACACTGTCGCAGAGAATGAGGAGATACAGACGAGCAGAGACTCGAAAGGCTTCTGCTCAAACTCCAGAGGAAACAAAAATTCTAGAAAAGCTTGTGTCATGCACAGTTTTGAGATCCTGGGTCAAGGAGGCAAGGTCCCAAGGTATTCCAAGAATGGAACCTTCCAGGAGAAGAAGCCCTGTCTATCAAGGGAATGCGCATATTTGACAAAGGAATGAAGGGAGACAGCCGAGAGGACCACCAGAGTGTAGGGTTAAAGCTAGAGGGGACTCAAGAGACATGGCTAGCAGCACCTTTGTTGTGAAGCCCTCCAGGGGGTCCATTTCAAATCTTCTCCTCGAAACTCTCTGAAAGCTCTCAAATGAGAGGCACCAGGATGTAGGAGAGGGAACACAGGCCTGGGAACGCACCAGCAGGATGGCCTTCCGTGAAATGTGGTTGGCAGAACCTGCTGTTCAAGACCAAGGCAAAGATTAAAGCTGGTGACACCTGCAGCTCACTGGGTACAATGTGGGGACACAGCAGACACTAAACAAATAAATCATGGCTAGTGCCTTTGTTCTTCTGGGTGAAGGATGAACCCAAGCTAGGTGAGGTGGCACAAAAGTCCCACGTTGTATCTTCAGTCTCAGTGCAGACACAGGCAAACATCCTCCCAGGCTCCAACTGGGAAAGAGTGGAACAATCCACCCAGGCAATGCCGTGAGAATGAGCGGTCCAAGGATAAGGACCTGCTTTTCCCTGAAACCATGAATGCAGCCACCTGAGTGCTCCTGAACTCCACCCCTGGAGGCAACAACAAGCAGGGAAAAGGTTTACAACGCCGATTGGAATCAGGATTCAGCTACAAGAGCAGAGAAGCTCCAACACATCCCAAATACAATTTTAGTGCTGCCTCTGAATCTTTGGAAAAAGAATAACACCCCCGAGGTAATGCTTTCAGGTTCCGGCCTCTGTTGGCACAGGGAAGGAACGGGGCGAAACAGAGGCCTTCTAATATTCAGAGTTGACTCCCTCCTCCCCTCTGCAGTGTTTGCTCAGAAACCAGCAAAGCAATGAGCCACCACACAAGTAAGAGCACCCTGTGGACTTCCCATGGGCCCCAGGACCTCTACAGCAGCTTGGGCACACTCTGTATTTACTTACGGTGCAACCTGATCCCCACTTCAGGGAGTTATTTCATAAGGCTTTTAAGGGTTACTCTATTTTGTTCCTATAAGAGGCCAATCCAAATTAGCAACAAAAGGGTAGTTAAACACAAGAAAAAAACACTTCTTTTGTGCTCCTCAAGAAAGGCAGTCTTGGTCATTAAAAAGGTAAAATGTCTTATTCTATCAACGTTTTTTAAAAATAAAAATCAGTCTAGTGATTTTCCAAGGGCAGATTAGTAGTCTTACACTCATGCCTGCTTGGAGATGAGAAGGGTGCCAAAGGATGCAGACAGCTAACAAAAGGACACGTTTCCTGCTGTGATGTTATCTCAAAGGAATTCTTTTTTTTTTTTAATTTATTTTTTAGTTATAGGTGGACACAATATCTTTACTTCATTTTTATGTGGTGCTGAGGTTTGAAGGTAGTACTTACATGTGCTAGGCGAGTGCTCTACCACTGAACCACAACCCCAGCCCTCAAAGAATCCTTAACAGTACCAACCACTACGTAACAAATTACTCCAAAATATAGTATCTTTTTAAATCTTCATTTTATTTTTAATCTTTACTCTAAAACATGGTATCTTTTTAAATGTTATTTTTAATATTTATTCCCCTTTGTTTTTCAGACTGGATGACCCTACTAACACATTTATATTAACTCTTCCCTCTGACATTTCTATCTAAATGTTAAGCATTCAATAATTTCTTACTAACTCCACATACTGTATTTTTTCAACTCTATATTTTCCATTTGGTTCTTTTTTTTTTTTTAACACTTTCTATTCCTTACCAAGATATCCTATCTTTTCATTCATGTGATATCTGATGCAAATTCCTCTGCGTCCTTGAACAAGACTACAAATGCTGTTTTTAAATCCTTATCAACTCACAGAAAGCTTCCACCAATTATCTGTTCTTTTGAGAATAGGACACATTTTCCTGTATGTCAAGTAATTTTGGTTTGTATCCTAGACATTATGCTATGGAAATTCTGGATTCAGTTATATTCCTCTAAAGAGCATGACTGATATTTTGGTTTTGGTAGGCAATTATCTTAGCTGGAAACAAACTGAGAATTCTGGAGTAGAAGCTCAAATCTTGGCACAATTATTTTGTCCTTAGCTTAGCTTCTTAGAGCCTGCTCCACACGTGTAATTCAGGAATCAGCAAGGATTTAAGTAACTGATACATAGATTGTGGGGCTCACTCTCTCCTTTACAGTCTCCTCCCCTCAATTTCCAATAGCTGTGTTTGCACACACACTCTTCTTTGGTTTTTCAAACTGCAAGACTACCAAAGCTTCCACTGCCCTGCATAGCACACACTGTACCATTTCCTTTTTCAAAGTGTCAATTTCACTCCAGAATCTGCCTGTTTTGTAAAATCTGAGTGTCTTCAGATAGCCGTCTTCTGTCCAGAGTTTATAACTATTAAGTCCAATAGGAGCTCTCTAGTCCATTCACTTAAAGAGAACCTCGGACTCCCACCCCATTTTTCACTTTTTCTCACAATGCTGTGGGTCATGAATTCAGAAAAGGCTTTGCCAAATCTGTGTGGCATCGGCTGGGCACATAAGGAAACAAGGCAGGATCTGTTCCCAACAGAGTTCTCACACACAGAGTTAGTGCCCTGATGCTCCTTGACAGGTGTCTTTATTACATCTCATACTCCAGGGTCTCTCCATGGGGACTCACCAAGTCCCATCATGGTGATCTCAGGGAACAAGCACTACTTGCATGGTGATTGGCTGCTACAAAGTTAGAAACAGGATCAATTAAGAGCTACGCCCAAAATGGTACAGAATGGCTCCTACCATGGAATACTGTTCAAAGCAGTCACAAGAGCTGAACAGATTCAAAGGGATGGAGAGATAGGTGCCAACCCTTGGTAGGGGAGTGACAAAGTCACACTGCAGAAAAATATGTAAAATAACATGTTTCTGCAGACTTCTTGGAAAATATAATCTGCCACACATTTAATGAACCAAAACAAAAGTCACTCAAAAGTAGAACTTCAAGAGACTCCAACAAACACTAGTTCAATGTGAAACATGCAACCCAACCATCCTGCAACTCATCACTCTCTCCCATGACTGAAATAATGGCCTCTACACTGTTCAGAAAGAGCTTTCTAAAAGCATTCTATTGATTTTCCAAAGTCTTAAGACTTAAAATTATATGTTCACTTCAAAACACACAGAAGAAAAGCTTCTGATAACATCATTGATAAATGTAAAACACGGACGAAATTAAAGGGACCTTTGTTTTGTTTTTTTCTTACAATAAATATCAAAATAACTAGAGTTTCTTTAATGCTTAGTTTGTGCTAGAAACTGTCTAGGCCTATCAAACACATTTTCATTGACTGGGAGACATAACAGTGTTCAAATGCCCAGGCTGTGAACAAACATCAGTAATGTACAGGAAAAGAAATTAGCTCCAACTCGGGACAAAAATAACACGAAATTAGAAAAAAAACACAATCCTAATGTTAATAAATATGATCTATTGTGTTTATTTATGGGAATAATATATGTTTGTTTTCACTGATGTTACATATATAATTTATGTATCTCTTCTCAATCTATTTTCTAACCACCTCAATTTTTCACTCCAAAACCATAATGTAGTCTAAACTCTAAATAAGGCAAAGCACAAATGACACATACTAATAAATCATCTTACCTTGTCTTGGTTATCTTTATTCTTGTAACACAGATTTCCAATCAAGCGAATAAGATGAGACTTAAACCCCTCAGCCATATTTGAGATGTCACCTTCTGCTTTTATGCAACCAGAGGTACTGAAGATGTTTGTGGTATCTTTTCCAGCTACATGAATTAGTCGTAAAAGATCTAGAATGAAAAAGATAAATAAACTTTGTTTTACACAAGAAAATATTTTTTAGTATTGGTACTAGCTTTCCATAAATAAATCTAATTTATTTTAATGCATTAAAGCAAAATAAAGATAGAGTACTAAAAGCTTTCTTTAAATAATGATTAAATGGCTCTTCTGCTTTTGCATTCTATTTTTTTGACTCTAGTTTTAGGGAGATAAGACATAATTATTTACCTTGATTTGGACTTTCTACTTTACCTACAAAGAAAAGTTGGCTAAAAATTTCCCAATATCTTCCTTACCAAAATAAATAAATATCATTCATACACACACACACACACACACACACACCTTTCTCTCTATAAGAATTCATCTGATAACGAGTCAGCTAAGTTAAAAATCACAGCCCATGTCTGTAACAAACCACACCACAGAACCAAGAGAGCTTTCCACTTCTCGATGGTCAAATAATCCAAGACAGACCTGCTTTAGCCACAGTCAGAAAAATAACATTGTTATACTCTCCAGAGCCTAGGAAAACAGATGATCTTCTAAGACCTGTGAGTTTGTATTTCCACATTATTTCACTTAACCCTCTCGCCAAACCTAGTAATGGCAGACATCAGGTTCCCAGTTTTATAATGGAGAAATCACACAGAGAAGTTAGTAACTTGGCAGAGTGGGATGGCAACCCACACTTGTCCTGGCTCCACAAGGATTCTAGGTTGGCGGTGTTTTATTTTGATTATCACTAAAAGCAATGCACTCAAAATAGCACCCCAGGAGGGGATTCTAGCACCTCCCGCAGCTGACTGCTAGGCATCTTAGCCTCTGATACAAAGTCACTTTCCTTAGTCTATGGGCCTCCAGCATAAGCGTGGCCTCTTTAATGGAAGAAAGCAGGGAACAGAGATGACCAACACCAAAGCTCAGCTAACCACAAGGAGCAGGTTCCATTTGAATTATTTTCCAAATAGCTTTTTAGTAAAGATAGTAATACTTCAAATAATGGCTTCCTGCTTAAAACTGCTTTCCTGTAAGAACAGAATATATAAAACACATAAAGTACTTTTCTATGCATTCAGTAAATAAAATTGTGAAAAATTTCCTGCCAAGTTTCATAAAGTTAAAGTAATATAAAAAAAATAAAATCATCTTCATGGTCACAAGCCTCCCCTCTTCCTTTCCCCATCATCTTGGTCACATGCCTCCTGGTGACATACCCATTGCCAGCACCCGCACCACAGTCTCACTGTGCCCATCTTCCTGAGCAGGTGTTCCAAGATCAACAGGAGGGAAGTGGTGAAACTTGATGAGGCTTCAGGTCCACCAGCCTCTGAAGCCTGAGCTAGTACCACAACACATGACTCCCCTCAAGAAGAAATACCCAAAACCCTCAAAGTGCATCAGAAAACTGAAAATTAAGAACCTGTGTTTGGATTTACATAGCAGCATGACGAGTCAAAGATTTCTTAACTAAAACACCATGTGTGTACTTCACTCACCGACCACACGTTCCAGCAGGCCAGGAAAGCCCTGCAGATAGCCCAGCAGCTCGGTGTTGGCCGTCATTTCACACAGCACATCCAGAAGCCTAATGGTGGCCAGGGCCTCCTGCAAAGTACGTGAGAAGCTAAATGATTTCATTTTATAGATCACCAGGAGAGAATGGAATACAACGTTAAATATGAAAGTAACATGCAACACTGCGTTTAGTAATGTAATTACTGAAAGGAGAAACTGAACCATGCAAAACAAAATAGAAGTATTATATATGTCCTCAAATAATCATCTCCCTAACAGCAGACATCCACCAGGGAGAATGCAAGATTATGTGTCATTATGTGTCTTCTTGGAGCAAAGAGTCAGAAAAGTTCTTATTCAAGCAAAAATACCTTCCAACAGTGGGATAAATGTTCAAAATTACTAGCTACGCGTACATAACATTTATGCAAATACTTTCTTTTTAAAGCGTTCCCAGTATTCAAGTTCTACTTTAAAGATGCAAATATCCCATGAAATACATTAATTTCTTGTCCACAGGAATCCTGTAAAGTGTTGTGGTTGACAAACTCTGGCTTCAAGATCTCTGTATTATTTCTGGGTAAATAAAAACTTATATGCAGTATCTTGCTGGGTTGGAAAAGATAATATTATTTGAACATGTAAATTCACATAACTAACTACTAAACGATCTACATCAAACAGACTGCATGACAAGGAGCTACCACATACCAGCTTCATGGCATTAGGTGGTCTACATGGAATTCAAAGAAGCAGAACTTTATAGAACTTTTAAGCCCCACTGTTAAAGCATTTGACAAAATGTGGTAGAGACTATAAGCTTAGGTCATAAAGTTAACATTCTTCAAAAGAAAGATAAATTACTTTGTTAATACCAAACATGTACTTATTATTCTCTAACTAGGACATTTAAAGGTAATATCTTAATCTAGAAATCATAAAATAAATAGCAAGAAATAGCACATTTCTAATGCCTTGGATCTTTAACCTTACTTCATAGCTTTATTTGCTAATTACAGAGTTGAGGGGGGATCTAGATTAGAACTCTGAAACTGTACTTTGAACATGGAGACTTGAGCTAATGCATGAATGTCTCAGGGCTCCGGCACCCTCTTTCCCATTTCTCCTGAGAAATGGCTGGCTGATCAGGGTGAGGCAGAGCTCGTGCAGACACCATGTGGCGAGGAAGCTGAGAGACACCCCAGAGATATCAGTAAGTGAAAAACATCAGGAACAATCACAACTCAACATAAGCCAGGCAGTTTTAAAGTCATGATGCCACAAAGATAATTAATTAAACCAGCTCACTGGTCACCTTGGAGTGAGGGCACAGAACTGACCAATTACTCTGAAGACTGAATCAAGGGGCAATCAAGCATTTCCTTGCCTTAACTAAACCATACTGTCTGGAGCCTAACAGTTGGCTAGGGAAAGTTTCTCTTTATAAAATATGCCTGCTAATAAGTGACAAATGACTGTGACAGTCAAAATGCCAAGGCTTCACATCTCAACAGTTGGGAGATTGAAGTAATCATCAAGGCCCACCAACACCTCAGATATAGAAGGCCAAGCATTCTGCGCCTCTGCTGAAAGTGGGCACCACAGCAACGAAACACAATTGCAAAACAGTAACCCATATCCAAACACACCTCAAGAACTAACCCTCCTCCACAGGCAGAACCCACCAGAGACGCACACACCAACATCGGAACCGTAGGCAACACCCGAGGAAAAGATGCCGGCACCTTAGCTGCAGCTAGCACACAAGAGGAGAGGAGGAAAGGAAAGCCTAGGTATTTAAGGAAGGTGGAGACCTAACCCATTGTAGGCATGGCCATTATCTGCATCCATATTTGAAAAATGAACTCGAAAAAAGTTTATCAGACAATGGAGAAAATCTGTGCACTATTTATCTGGTATTAAAATTTTCCTGTTAAACTTTATAGGTACATTAATTATGATGCACTTGTGTCTGATGACTCCTCATCTTTTAGGGGTATAAGTCTGTGGATGAAACGAGAGTGAACTGTGGGACTGGAGTAGTTCAGGGGGAGCCCTGTCCAGCAGGCCTGAGGTCCTGGCTCAATCCTGCACACACACACACCCCACACACACACAGAATGAACCAGAAAAAAGGAAAAGAATGAATGAGGACACTAAAGCTGGGGATGGCTGACTGAGCTTCACTACACTTTCTTCTCTTAGTCTATTTGGAATTTTCCATGATTAAAAGACAGAAATAAAGAGACAATGAAGGGGTTGAAAGACATGCACTGGAAGTGTCTTTCCAGTCCTAAATTCTATGATATTAACCAAAATAAACCCAAAAGAAAATTAATTTATCCCCACCTTAAACATGCCAAATTTTCATCATTAAAGTCCTTTTATTAATAATGTGTTCCTAATGAGCATCTGGAAATTAAAATTAACAGCCAGGAAAATCACTCTTAAAAAACTAAGGGTAACGAGTAAAATGTCCTCCCAGATATTTAAAAGTACCCTAAAACTATATTAATTAAATCAGGTACTGAGAGACATACGCAAACAAAAGGAGCAACATTCCAAAACATTTTGAAAGGGCAAAAGAAAAAAAAAAAAAGACTGGTCTCCTGGTCCAACTCATCTCTCTAACCTTCAGCGTTTGAGCCATTCTATACCTTTGTAAGTGATATAAGAATAAAAATGATGCCAATATTTTTGCCCAAAGATATACAAATTAGTTGTATCAGGACAGAATGTAATTAATCGTTGCCTTCTGCAAAGGCCAGTTCTGCATGTATTCATTAAATACATTTTACATGCATGTAACAAACATACACGGACACATGTTCATTTAAACTACATTAACACATTCATTAAATGAAGTTCATTTAAACTTCATTAAACACATGCTACATACAAACATGTAGTTCTTTACGTTTCCTTTCTCCAGTTAACATCGTACTGGCTCCTTCTATAAAAGCTAAACATCTAGAAATGGATCCAAACGTATGCAGCAGCTTCCTACATCAGAAAGTACTAAAAGCAGTTGAAAACAACATGATCTGACTCGGTAACAGGTCAACATTTGAGAAGCAAGGGGTATGTACTGCTCAGCAGAGGGAAAAGTTCATGCTCAAGGACACCCCACTTACATGCACAGAAAACAGGCATGCAGAGGTGGGAGACTTCCAAGTCCACATGCCAGCAATACAGAAATACTCAAACCCACCCCGACGCATACCAGGGACTTTATAAAATCTTCCACAGTCAAAGGACATAAATAATTCATTTGAATCCACACATCACTTCTTATCTAAAAATAATTTCTATATTAATCAAAAGTGTGGTCTAGGAACTGAAAGAAATGGGGTTTACAGGTAAATATGTCCACGTTGTAAGTGGAGAAGTTTACTAAATTTCTAAATTTGACAAAAAAATTCAGGTCATTAAGGATAACATTGATAAGCCTAACTACATTAAGAACAAACAAAAAATTCTAAAAGCTAAATACACTACAAATAAATTCAAACAAAATTAACTGTCAATGTCAAAGATAACTTAATATGCAAAATAAATGAACATACTGGCCCTGAAAAACAGTAGAGAAATGTAATCAGTTAGATTTGCAAAGGGTTGTTGTTATGGTTTAGATGTGAGGTGTCCCTCCAAAAGTTCATCTGGGAGAAAAATGCAAGAAGATTCAGAGGAGAAATGATTAGGTTGTGAGCAGATGAGCCCAATCAGTGAATTAATCCCCTGATGGGGATTAACTGAGTGGTTAAATCAAATGGTGGGTGTGGCTGGAGGAGGTGGGCATTGGGGGTGTGGCTTTTGAGTGCATGTTTGTATCTGACAAGTGAAGACTTCTCTGCTTTCTGATCATCACGTGAGCTGGTTCCCTCTGCCACAATCTTCCACCAGATGTTCTGCCTCCCTTGAGCTCTGAGGAATGGACTCCACTGTCTATAGATTGAGACCTCTGAAACCATGAGCCCTTGAGTGAACTTTTCCTCCTCTACAATTGTTCAGGTCAAGTCCTTTATTCATAGCAGTGAGAAAGCTGACTAAGACCATTGTGACTCACAGTCTTGCACTGCAGTGTTCTTTCATTTAGAACTGTCTCTAAAATGTAACTCTCTGACCTGTTAATCAATTTCTGGGTATTGATAATCCCAGATTTACTTGTCCAAAATTGCAAAGAAATGCCTAGAAGGATATTTACTGTAGCATTATTTTAAAAAGTTTCTTTTAAAAACCAAACCTGGAGGGCTGGGGTTGTGGCTCAGCGGTAGAGTGCTCACCCAGCATATGCAAGGACCTGGGTTCAGTACCACATAAAAATAAATTAAATAAAGGCATTGTGTCTAACTACAATTATGGAAAAAAAAAAAAAAACTCTGGAAACAATTGAAGTATCTATAAGAAACAAATGAAAAAATTATGGTGCATCTAAATAGTGAGATGCTATTCAAATATTAACAAATGCATTAGTGTTGAGATGGAAAGATATACAAGTTTTATCACAAGTAAGTGACAAACCAAGTTAAAGAACATCATATGCAATAATGTGAAAAAGGAAATAAAAAGCATGTAGTTGTGTGTATATACAACAAATATCTTTAGGGAAAAAAACAGAAATACATGCAAATAGCTCTGTAGAAAACAGGGGCTAGGCAAAAGGAAGGAAACTTCTTAACTTTGCTCTAGCTTAAATAATTTTTCACAACAGAGAAAATATTATTTGCATAATGCAATAATTTAAGCCCTTATCAAAATGGAATAAAACAACACTATTTTTACTTATTCCATGAATATACATTAACTGCCAACTGTGTAAAATGATTTAATATGTAGTTGCAAGAGCTAAGAATGAAAACCCTACAAACTAAGAATAATTCTCACCACATACAGATGTAAGGAAATATGAAGTTAAAAGAAATGTTTTTTGAGCATTCAGAGGAAAGGCAAGGCTCATGAGCAGTAAACAAGATGTGGGAAACTAAATCTCAGATCTTACAGATTAAGCATTCTGGAGCTGACAAGACGTATCCAACCTGGAAACAAGAGTGGGTGCATTGACATGAGAACCCAAGATGAATTAATTCTATAAAAGAACACGTGCACAAAACTTCGGGTTCTATGGCCAGGTATATAAATTAAAAAACAAACACAATTAATATGACCCTTCTCACTCTCACTTTCCAGCCACTGAATTATGAGAACTTTATTGACTACATCATCTGCAAGAGTGCCACCAATGGGTGAGCGTGGGCTTTGCTGAGAGGGGAGAGAAGTGAGCCCTGGATGTAGCTCTCACTGACTTTTGGGCACAGATGCCTCTGCCACAGGTGACTTCCAGCCAACCATGGATACCTAGCTCAAATCCTCAGTGTGTGGTACCCAACTCAGAAGCTGGTGCAGGCCAACTACACTGGGAACTATTTTAAACACACACATGGGGTCTTCTTAAGAACTACTGTGGCATTTACTTTATTTACTTTTGCACCTATCTTGAAGTACAGCAAGTGTGCATTAATCTGCATGAGTCATGAGTGTGCAGATTGATGCACTTCTTATCTCAGCTTTTCCTACTCCATTAACATATAATTCCTCCCACCTTAGAGAAACAACTATTTAAGGGGAAAACATAAATTTTCCTTAAAAAAAAACCCACTAAGTAACTCCGTACTACAGTACTGAAATGCTTTCAACACAAGTCCTGGGAATGGACCAAAGCTGTGACTTAACAAGTGCAGTGTTATGTCTTCCTGTCTCCTAGAGAAATTTTTAAAACTTTCTGAAGCACAGCTCACGGCTCCTCCTGCTGGAAACAGGGAAATCTATCCCCAGAAAGCAAATGCAAAGAGTGAGAAAGGACCTCCCTCTTCTCTACCACAGAAAAGGTCAGTGAGCCAGAACCTGATCGGGTGACCTAGCAGAGAAGACCCACAGCAGAGTGGCTTTGAGCCAAAGCACGGGCACAGAAACCCACTCTCGTGCAGAACAGTCACCGTCACAGCGGCACCGACCACAGGAGCTAAGGGCTCTGCACCGCTGCACACAGCACTCTGGGATGGCTGTGCCACTTCTGTGCTCTCTGCTCCCCCCTGGCAGTGGTGGGGGTCCTCTCTGGATTCCAATCCCTCCACCTACTTGTCCGCCTACTGCCAGCATCATTCACTCCACTCCACTGGCCCATTCCAATCAGTACACAACAGACTTACCATTTTTTTTTTCAAATATGTTCAAACTCAAATCAACTCTACTAAGGTATAACTCAGATGCAGTAAATCTCACCCACAAGTGCACAGCAGTGTATGCACTTCCGTTACCCAAAAAAGTCCTCTCCTATCCCTCTGCCTTTGGCTTCAGCCCTGGTGGCACTGGCCTGCTCCAGTCTCACAGAAGGGGAGCCAGATGCCTGCTCTCTGGCCCATTGCATATGGAGTCCTCCCTGCGACAGTAGCAGAGAGCATTCCTTTTGTCTACTGAGCAGATTTCCAGAAAAAGAACAATTCCAACCTTACCTCGAAAGGGAAGGAGGAATAGGTACATATAAAGAGAGACTCTCCAGCGAAGAGGCAGGAACAGAAGTGACGCCAGCTAGGCCTGTGCCCTCCACAGAGACCAGGCCCAGTGCTCAAGGATAGGCGGGAGGGAAGAAAGCCACCTGGAGTGGCCGAGAGGGGCAGCAGGTGCTACAACTGGAAAGCTCCCACAATAGCTAGGAGAAGTGAATTTTCTAGAAGGTAGAAAATAGTTATAGATACCAAAAGGTTTGAAAGGTATATACTGCATACCTAGAAACTGCACTGCAAGGATCTGCACTGCAGGTTAGTAACGTCAGTTAGTGATGTGAAAAGATTAACTGTAAAGACATCTATGACAGCACCATTTACCATAAGTAGAAGTAACTAGCAAACCTATACGTCCACCTACAGGCAGCTGATCATTTTAAATTATGGGAAATTCTTTACCTGGAATGTTTGTAATGACGTTTTTAAAAGATATTCACAATGTACTACTCCTTATTTATTCAGCAAATATTTGCTAAAGTGCCCACTATGAACATTCAGTACCATGACGATGACCTCCTACCCTCACAAAGCTGCCATTCAGAAGAAAGCCAACTCACAAGCTGGTGGCAGAACAACCTCACCGACATGTCCACCTAGGAACACATGGATCTGACATTATCTGCCCTGAAAAATGTGCAAGCCACTTTGAAAGTCACTGACTCTGCCTGCAGGAACAAGGGCACTGCTTTCCCTCATCTGCATTTTTTAAGTACCCCAGCATAAGACACAGGACTCAAGGCCATCCTTCCAAGCTTCTCAGAGTGAGTTCTCCCAGAAGAGTGACTGGGTGGGAAAGCCTGCTTACTCCCTCACCCGAGGCACTTACCTCGTCCTCAGTGTGCTGCTCAGAGGTCAGCTTCAGCACAGTCCTGCACTGATCCACAAAGGAGCTTGCAATCAACTCGGCGTGGCGCAGAAACACTGGAACATCATCCTTGGTCAACGGCTCATCTCCCACCAGCTTGGCTATCATGAGGTCGAGCAGCGTGACCCTGTGAACATAAAATAGCTCCACCAAAACTGTAGCACACCAGAAACACCTACACAGACAACTTTAAGGTGATATTTTTATTATAAATTCATTACTTTATTATAATGTCTAGGAAAATTTTATGAATAAAAGCTAACCTTCATCCACTACCTATTTTTCAAAATCTTGATTTCTCTGCTATAACTTGGCTATGGAAGCAAGACTAATGCACCTTTCATACCTGTCACTACGTGGTCAGTTTAAGCTCTGTGAACACAGCCACAGGAACAGCAGCCAGGTGGAAGGGCTGACATTTATCCGTTACTTAGAGTCGAGACAGGCATTCTACACATAGGATCTCACTGGATCCTCACAGAAAGCTCGAGGAGGCAGGTCCTGTCATTCACCTCATACCAAAGGTGTGCAAAGGTGCAAAGGTTCGGTGAGGTCACCTAACCCCCGCAGAGTCACCTCTCCGGGAAGCTGAGCCAGCACCCCTGCAGCCAGTGGCCCATGCTTTCCCCACTCACTCCATGGCCTTTCTTGAGAGGCCAGCTTTCTTCTGCTTTTAATTATTTTTGTTTACCAAAACACAATTCTGAAGGCCAACCTATGCCACTTTATATCAATAATTAAATAATCAAATAATGATCTCCACTGAATAATCAATGATCTTAGGAAAAATTAACGGCCAACAGGCTAATCTATCCACATAGATCAAAAAAGACCTTGGATGAAAATCACATTTTGATTTGGGATTATATGCATAATCCTCATTTATTTTTAAACTAGAAAGAGAATGAGCACCCAAAATGTTTAGTAAATGGGCGGAAATGTACTTCAGTGAAAATTCCTTACCAAGAGTAACACAAACTGTCTACTACTTCAAGTAAAATAGAGCCAACATGGTCAAAACAGGAAAAATCACTTATAGACCAGAATGTTCAAAACTCCCTCTAAGGTTGGGTTGTGGCTAAGTGGTACAGCGCTTGCCTTGCTTGTGTGAGACACTGGGTTCAATTCCTAGCACCGAATATAAATAAATGAATAAAATAAAGGTCCATCAACATCTTTTAAAAAAAAAAACCCTCCCCCTAATCACAGCTTTCTTATAACAACTACTAATCAAAATTAAAACAAGCAAACACATAGTCCCTCTCTTGAGATAATGCCAAGATGCTTCTGCTCTCCCCTGTTCATATACAATCTTAAAAACAATGGCCATCCTTGGGCCATAAGGCCAGACCAACCCCAACCCACACAGGAGGATGGCCAGGCATTTTGGTCCGTAGTTGTCTTTTTGTGATGCCTCCCCACACCCTGTTTGGCATCAGATTAATGCTGGCTGTGCAGAATGAGTTGATTTTGTTTTTATTTATTTTTTGGTCAAGTTTGTAAAGAACTGGTGTTAGTATTTGTTTGGTAGAAATTACCAGCAACCCACTCAGCTTGGCCCCAACGCTCCCTGTCCTTGGGTCCCAGGCTATCCCACAGCCCCAGGACTCAAGTTTCCGCAGGGCTCTCTGGACACTGAGGTGCCCCACCCACAACTCCCCTCAGTTGTTGGCAGAGTTCACAGCTTGCTCCCTTCCTCCGCTGCACTCCCACATAAAGCAAGCACAGTGACAGCAGGGGTCTGTCCAGGGTATTCAGCAGCACTCGATAAATGTTCGTTGAATGAACAGAAAAACTCTGTGACCAAAACAAAACTCAGCCTTGACCTCCCACTCAGTGCTCTCTCCCACTGCTCTCTTGAGAATATCTTCTATTCCACAAAGTGCAGTTTTCAGTATTCTCCAAACACACCCAAGGATTCCACCTGTTCTTGCTGTGCCATATCTGCCAATGGAGAGGGCCCGCTTGTTGGCACAGAACTGGCAGGACCTTGGAGGATCTGAGCGCACCTCTCACAAGGTCCACTTGACACAGAAGCCTTGAGGGACCGCTGTACCCAACCCGGGCTCCTCACCCACCCTGGCCCCTCCGCAGACGTGTCTTCCAATATGGTTAACAACACGCTCACTTTTCGGCTCACTTTTCCCACAGTTGTCTCCGGTAGTTCACTGAGAGGCTGCATGGCTGAAGGCTGGGCACGTTCACCCTGGCATCTCCCTCAAGAACAAGGACAGAGCCTTGTTCACACTAGGCATTCAACATAACTCACTGAAGTAAATCAAGTAACACAATTTTGCTTTCACTAAAACCACGGGGTGAGGGGATATCTGAGGTTATGCTCAGTGGCAGAGCACTCACCTAGCACGGGGGAGGCACTGGGTTCAATCCTCAGCACCACATAAAGATAAATAAACAAAGGTACTGTGTCCATCTTTAACTAAAAAAATACTTTTTAAAAAAACCCATAGAGAGGTTTGGTGCCTGTGTCTTCCCTTTACCCCTGGTCTTTTCCTTTTGCATGTCCTTCTGCATTTAGACCCCCCCCCACTGTCTTCAATCTTATGTGATCACATATATTTACAAAAAAATTTGCTAGTATGATACATTGCTCCCGTGAGTATATATGTAATTTATAAGGCACGAGAAACGAAGGTACCAATCTTGAGCCAGAAAACTTCTGCTTGCTGCTTTTAGAAGAGTCTTGCTGAGGCTGCCATCTGGTGAAGCCCCACTGCCACACAGGTGTGAACTATAAAGCCCACGCCATTAAAATCCAATCTCAGTAACACTGAGGCTCGACATCCATTCTTCGCTCACTCACTGAACCAACAGGCAGCAGTGGATCGACTGACCGTGGCACCCAAAGGGTCACACTTGCCATGCGGGTGTTAGCGAAGTACATGGACTGATGGACATTCAGGAGAAATAAACCCTAGGAGAGAAAGGTCATCTTCTCTTAAAAATGTTAAAAGTAAGTGATTTATAGGTCCTTACCCTGTGTGCTGATGAGTGTTTTAAATTCCTCACTATAACATGAATGTCATTTGACCATAGTGGACTTCCCTGAGGCAGCATCATGCTACAGTTACTG